ATGTGCAAGCGGATCCTTGAAACTTGACAAGTTATTACGTGTCTTGTGTAAAAAACGGGTGGTTTTTAATTGGATTAGGCGATGTTCTAGATGCTACAACGCCAGAAACAGAAGATGACAAAAGGTTAATTTCAGAAATCAAACAGAGTCATGTACTTAAGAAAGTGTAAATCCTCTTGATTCATTTATATTGATTCAGATGAAGTGTTTATGGTTTTGAGTGACTTTATTGTAATACGCATGTGTAATAAATGTTTTATATTTTATTTTTATCTTATTTTGTCATATCAGTCCTTATATTCATTGATATTACAATATGTACATAGTTGCAGACTAATTTATTTGCACAATATACGCAGTTTAAAATATGCGTATATAGGTAACTTGAAATAATTTGGAATTTCTTAGTTTTTCATTGCATAACGCGTAGCGTTGCTTGTTTACGCTGACAAGGCTTTTCTGTATGAATAACATGAACTAATTTTTTCAAACTTAATTCTTTTATTCTGCATTACAATTAATTTTTAGTTAATTTAACATTTGTAAAAGTGGACGCTCATTTCCCCTAAAAACGTCTTTAAATAAATAAAAGCAGCTCTGAGCGAGTCAATATTTTCCACAAAATTTCACTGAATCATCTATGATAGTCCGAGTGATTTGTCACAGGCTTTCAAACAACCAGATTATTTACGTAAGATTGCCTTTCACAACCGAACCCAGACTTAATCTGAACGACCATCTGAAAATACCGATCTTAAAAAAATTTTTGCATAAGTTTTCATAAATTATTAGTCATTTACAAATAAATGACATGCAGGGAAATGACTACTCTCAATGTAATTATGAAGTATTGTCCAAAATATTATTCATCAGTTCAATCGAATCATTAATGGCTACATTGACTAACCTAGAACAATATTTGCCCACCCCCAACTACCGTGAAACCGATGTATTGCATTGAGAAATCGTTTTGCACGTGTTGAGTTATGAGTACTACTGTAGAAAGAAGACTGATGAGACTGATGCGTAAAGAGGGAAGAATGTCAATTTAGATGAATCATCAAACTGTCACTTGTGGACTTAAGGGACAAGAAATAAACACATTTCAGAAGAGAAGTAAGGACATCTTTGGCATGCGAGGTTAATCATTTCCAGAATCGTTATGTAAAATTGAGGGAAGTCTACTTTTTAACATTTTCTTTAAAATGGTGATATTTGCTCTAAAACGTGTGCAAAGCGTTTCTTTATCTTAGAAATTTAGGTTCGATTATGGAGGAAGAACATGTCACCGTCGAAGTGCAAGAATGGGTTCTGTTGCAAAGGGGTAGAACGGAATCCGTATCATGTTCAGAATGCCTTAAAATACCTACTTTTTAGGTTGATTTGAATCGCAACTTTGACTTCCACTTTGGAGGTAAATTGTTTATGAAGTTTCGTTAGCAATTTCACATTGACACCTCTTTGAAGGACTTGGGGGAAGCAGCGATCCGTGTGAAGAAATATTTCAAGGCGACTATCCGTTCAGTGAACCAGAGTCACAGGCAGTGAAGAAATTTTTGCTGGATCACTTTAATATAGAAGCATTTATTAATTTGCATACGTATTCCCAACTTTGGATACATCCTTATGGTCATACAAAGCATGCATACCCTGCTGACGTAAAAGACCTGGTAGGTATTGTGTATTTGCATAAAATTTGAAACTAAGCAACTTTTAAAAGTCAGATTAATGGAATATAAAATAGACCAGACAAAAGCATCCAATCCCTACTTCCTCACTCACTTTATTCAAAACATTTGAAAAATTTGATGAACTTCTTAAACATTACTTTTGTGCCATTAAGTTAATGCTTCGTCATAGCTATTCAATTACTAATAAGACATGAATGTCGAGGGTTAGAAACTTTGACACGATAATATGGAAATCTGGTTTTGGTGGTTAAGATGAACAGATTAAGGGGAGAGACATTTGGTGCATTAGTCGTGCGCTTGTTCTTTGTCTTGGACTTAGTCTTGAGCATGAGTTTAGAGTTAGGCTTAGAGGTTAATTCCTTAAATATCTACTCCCCCCATGCGACAGCGCGCTTTCGATTCCGTCACTGTGTTATTTAATCGGAACAAAAGTGACATCTCTATCGACCACAAGACTTCAAGGACCCTAATTCATGCTAGTGCCAAAAATACAGGTAAAACGTAAACGGCTACCTCCGCATTTTCTTAATGAAAGGGATATTTTGTGACACCAAAAAAGAGCTGCGATCATGTTTCCTCTTGAACATTTGGTATCAACATCGCCGTCCATGGAAACAGTG